TGGGCTCTAAAAGAACAGATTATAATGTCAGAACACTTAACTATTTGGATGTGACTAAGCTCATTTTGCTCATCAATAAAGTGTATTCTAACATTCAAAAAAAAAAAAAAAAGAAAATCAGTGTCACAAAAATATCAATTACTGTAATTCACTAGATTAACAGAAGAAGGATGGGAAACCACATGACCACCTTAATTGTTTTAGATAAATCATAATGGAGTTTGCAGAATTCCAATGGAGATTATTAGCATTGTCAGCAGGTTCTAGCCAGCAGCTGTCATTTAGCAGCCATGAGACATCTGGTCATGGTAGTAATGATCCCAGCAGCAGGCACATACTGAGTGCCTACTATATACCAGAATTCTAATTTACAGACCCAGTGAAATGTCCATTACCTACTGACTGAAGGAAAGACAACTAAAAGAAAACCAAATAGAACTAACAGCAAAGTTGCGGGCTGGGAATATCGCTCACTGATGGAGCACTTGCCTACCATGTGTGATGCCCTGAGTTTGATCCCTAGCCCCACAAACAACAAAACCTAGTCTTGTCACAGTGATTTCTACTCACAATCATGACTAATCCTGACACCTCCAGAGCAACAATCATGTTTGTTCATTGTAATGTTCGCTTTTAAGGTGAGCTTTAACTATTTCACTAGACTAGCAACAAGCTTTTTATTAAAAACAACAGTCAATCTAGAACTGTCTGAACTCCACCTAAAACTCTGATTTTCCTCATCAGGTTGTTATACTGGAGAATGGAAAGAATTAAGCACAGCTGTTTCGGATAAAGATTTGCCTCTCTATCTATGGATTACACTCACAGAAACACCCAGCTCTTCAAAGGTGCCCCAACAGAATATCACTTCTTTAGAAACTTCTGGAAACTAGCTGTGGTGCATGTTCTTACTAGCATTTTTGTACCGAGACGAACTAAAGCAACAATGTGATGTCTCTGACTAAAATGGTAACAGCAGCTACTGGTTAATCTTCAACTAGGCCTTCAGGGATTGTCCCTTGCAATTCCAACAATGGTCTCATGTTCCAAATGGCTGTTTTTTAAGTGGCCAAGCACAGAATGTCTACTTTTCCCATCATTTTTCTATGCCTCTTAGTTATACCCTATTCATAAATTATTGGCACAACGGGATTTATTAAGTAAACATATAACATTTATGTATATTGAATCAAAGAAAGGAATGGCAGATCTAGGGTTTGCCTTATGTTTTATTTTCAAATATTTAAGAATAAACATTAACAGGACAAAATTTATTGACACATTTCTTAAGCCATGAGTGCTATGGACTATTTGTGGCCCCCTAAAATTCATACATTGAAATTCTAACCCCCAAGGTGATATTCTTAGGAAGTGCTATTTCTGGGAGGTAATTATGTCATGAGGGTAGAGCCCTCCTGAATAGGATTAGTGCCCCTATAAAAGAGGACCAAGAGCATTCCCTTGCCTCTTCTGCCATGTGAAGTTACAATAAGATGTTTATTTTATTCTAAGATTTCTAACAACTTTACACTGATCTATGAAGCAAGAAGCAGGACCTCACCAGACCTAGAATCTGCTAGCACCTTGATCTTGTGCTTCCCAAACTCCAGAATTGTAAGAGTTTTGTTGTGTATAAGCTACTCAGTTTATGATATTTTGTCATGCAGCCTGAACAAAATAAGACAATGACTGCTCATACCTAGCCCCTGAGCTTGCATTTTGGAACTGGGAACTTGGGTGAGCACATGCTAGTGCTGCTGACTATAAGCCTTATTATGGCCAACTGGGTTGTAGGTAATGGTAGGGCAAAGTGGGCAGGGCTCAGTCCAAGCCCATCAGCAACCATGAAAATCAGAAAGCAAAGGTTCCCCATCTACTCACGTTGGGTTGCTGGGGTCAAGATTGCCACTGATGCTCAAGGAGCATTGCAGCATTAAATT